TAAATAAAGAGCTGAATTTGATAAACAGAGCAGCCACGTCTCTTCTGCATCTGTAGTGCCTGGAAATGATAGGCTGGCTTATTTTGATTTTTCCTGATTTTTAGCACACAGCTAAAAATATATTCAGGTGTGCTGAAATGCTTGTTTTGAAAATGAGGATTTACTACACAAATGATACAGGAATAATTTGAGTATTGCATGAGTTTTGTGTTGACTTACATGCCCTTTGTTTATAAGAAGCCGAAAACTGTATTCAACTGAATCAATTCAAAGAATATTCAAAATGAATACATCTGAAACAGCTGTCAACTACCTCCACTCTCCACGTGTTAGGAGCCACATCCATCTACTCATGTATGGTATTAACAGCTGTCATTCCAGTGTCCCATAACGCTTCATTTACCACTTCACTAAAACTCAAAAGCTGCAATTCTCTTGATATGTGTTTCAAAAAAACTTCAGGTTTTGTTTTCAAAATAACATGGCCATATTATTTCATATTTATGTGATTCTCAATCATTAGACATATAAAATGATACTACAGTTTTTATTCCCTTGTTAACTTTTCATTGTTGGGGTTTTTCTTACTGCATTTTCTCTGTAAGCTCTATGGTTTTGTATGCATCAGTTTTGCATATTATAATGATTTTTGGAGCGCATGTCACATTATATCAGAATTGATTATAAGTGAAAAAATATTGGTTCCTTTATTCTTTAGCTACCATAGGAATCTTCCTGCTACATGCTTTCATTGCAACCTGTATTTACCCCTTTTTGGTACTGGTACCCCTTCTTTTACTGATGATGGAAGTTCCAAGGAGATATAGTGTCTGTTCTGTTCTTTTTTGTACTTTTAGTCCTAATAGTGTCTGATACATCTACATACGCAGTAACAATTTCAGTATGACTCTGTGAAATTAAGCACTGATGTTTATTTAGAATATTAAAGTGTTGTTTTGACTTACAGTCACAATGATTTTTAAAGCTGTGTTTTATATAGTGCAGCTCACTATTAAGAAAATGTGAAAGTAGTAGTTACGGCTGCAAGTGGCAGAGACAGTGGTGTTCTGACTCTCCAATCAGCAAATAGCTCTTATAGTAGAGTTCTCAACTAATGTAATTCAGTGGTCCTAGTGTATTTTTTCTTTTTCTTTTTGTTTGTTTCTTTTTTTGGTACTGGGGATCAAACTTACAATCTTGCATTTGTCAGGCAGATGCTTATGCCACTGGGCTAAATCTCCGGCCATATTGTTTCTAATTTTAAGAAATTATGAATGTTTTGAATAATTTCTTTAAAATTTATAAGTTTATTGTATATATATCTGGGAAAATTCAGAAATCGTTGTGTGCCAACTTACTGAATTCAGCTAAAACATGAAGCTTGGAAAAGTGACAAATAAAAGTGATACTATGTTTTTATGGTGGTAGAAAATAATTTTGAACATTTGTCAAGTTAAACTTTACCCAACTGTGAGAGAGGAGTCTTCTTTATTTCTTTGACTATTTATATATATATAATCTATTACTTCCTCAAACTAATTCTTTCTGCTTTCTGCTTTCACTTGATTCTTTGTCTGTTCCTTAATGTGTCCTAGTTTCAATTAAATAGGGAAGCTTATGGTAAGAAAAATTGTGGTAGTTTTTCAAGAGAATCGAGTTGATGAAATTAGAAGCTGCTATAATTATTCTTACCATTAACTTTGCCTTTTTGGTATATAAGAATATTTTCTCACCTACTATCAAGTCTCTGAATTTTACAGTTTGATTTCAGGATTCAATGTAGTTTCTCCCTGTGCAATGTTTCTTAGAATTGTAGCCTTAATTTGGTTTTCCACTAAGCTATGGTGTGATCTTCATCAACTTCTCTCATAAAACCCACGAAGCTAGATCTTTTTGTTATGCTACTCAAAGTTATCTAGGAAAATTACAGTATTAATACTAAAATATCTGTTACATAGATTCAAAGGAAGTAGTTGTGAACTTTTAAAAGATTGTATGTTTTGTTTTAATATAATTTCAAACCTATGGAAAATTTACAAGAAACTTCTGTATGTCCTTTATATAGATTCAAAAGTTGTGCACATTCCTGCCCCATTTGCTTTCTTGTCATACTTTCTCTATATAGTTTTTCCCTGAATCATTTGAAAGTTACAAAAGTTAAATACTTAAATATTCAGAGTATTAAATTATTTTGACTTACAGTCAGAATGATTTTTAAAGCTATACTTTAAATATTGTAACTCACTTTTAAGAAAATGTGAAAATAACAGTTACTACTGCACTCCAATCAGCAACTGGTTTTTATGGTAGGATTCTCAACTAAGGTACTTCAGTGGTTCTAGTGTTATTGTTTCTAATTTTAAGAAATTTAAATCTTTGAATATTTTAATTCCTTAATACTTTTGTGTATAGTTTATAAAATGAGAGCATTTTCCTACATAATAATCATAGTAAAATTCCTAAGATGAGTATTTATAACATTGAAATGATTTTGTTATCTAATCCATAACTTCTGTTTAAATTTTGTCAGTTTTTCCCAATAATGTCTTTTATAGCTTGTCCCCCCCCCCCCAGTTCAGTATACTTATAAAATTATGCACAGTGGGAAGAGGATGTCTACTCGGTAGTAGAGCACTTAAATATGTGCAAGACTCTTAGTCTGATCCCTTGCACCTAAACAACAGCAAAAAAGAATTGTTTTTAGTCATCTCTGTTATTTGCTTTTAAACTGAAACAGTTCTATACTCTTTATTTTTCCTGATCTTCATATTTGTGAAACCAGGAGTTTTGTAGAACACTATTTAATTTGGGTTGTCTGATGTTGTTTATGATTAGATGTAGGTTATGTGGGTTTTTTTTTTTATTTTTGTAGGAATAACACACAGTAGTTCCTCATATCAGGAAATTCATGTCAGTTTATTTCAGTAGAGGTATTCAGTTACAGTATTTCTTTCTTTTGTTTTCCATTGGTTTGTTAGTTATTTTTCTGTTGTTGGTGAGACAAAATAGCACCCAAAATGAAGAAAGGTAAGGTTTATTTAGCTCACAGTTTGGAGGTTTCAGTCCATACTTGGCTAGCCCCAAGGCAATGTGGCAGAGGGCAACAGTTCATGGCTGCAGCAGATACCAGAAGTAAAAAAAAAAACAAACAAACAAACAGGGAAGAAGGTGCCAAGAAGACTCTTTCTGTCCCTTATATTGTATATAGGCCACACTCACTTGGGTGTAGTACTCACACACATAATCCCAGCATTGGACCATGAATCATTCATAAAGTTTAGAAGTCTCCCTCCCTGATTGTCTGAGGCTGTAGAGGGGGCATTCAGACACAAACCATAACAACTAGTTCATTCTTTCATTTACTCGTTCCCTTCAGTGAATTTACTTCTTTCATCAAGACCACAGCACACACAAAGTGGTTTCAGAATTGCAAATCTGTGACAATGGATAAGCAAATCTACTAACTAGAATTCAGTATCACTTATGGTTTGTAAGGTAAAATTTAATTATGGTGAAATGCATAAATCTTAAGGAAACAGTAGAATGAGTTTTGCAAATACAGACATTCACCTAGCCTACATCCCTGTCAAGACCCAGGAATTTTCTGTCACCTCAGAGAGTTTTCTGGTTCTCTTTTCTGGTTAAGATTGCTCTCTACCAAGAAGAACAACTTTTTTGACTTTTTGTTTCGTTGTTTTCCCCCATTATAAATTAGTTTCTCATTATGGATTAGTTTTTAGAATTCCATATAAGTGGAATCATAGTTTCTTTTGTGTCCAATTTTGATGGCTTATTATCTTTGAGATTCATGCATATTGTTTCTTTGTCCTCCATTATTTTTAACAGCTAAGAAGTATTCCATTGTGTAAATATATCACAATTTATCCATTTTATTCTGATAAACATTTTGAATTGTTGCCAGTTCATGGTTGTTAAAATAAATCTGCTATGAACATTCAGGTACACACACACAGACAGACACACAAGCACAGACACACTTTAAAATTTCCATTGAATAAATGCCTATAAGTGGAAGTGCTAGATCATAGAGTAGACATATGCTTAACTTAAAAAAAAAATCATATGTGTCCCTTACCTTTTTATGCTTCTGTTAACACTTTGAGAGTTTTAGTTGTTTTACACGCTCACTGACATCTTTTTTTATCAGCCCTTTTAATATTAGCCATTCTACTAAGTGTAAGATTCATTATGGCTTTAGTGTTTGCATTTTCTTAATTGTGGATTAAGCTAAATATGAAAAATGCTTTTTGACCATTAATAACTTCTTTGTGAGGAATTTATTCATTTACCTATTTTTTTAAAAAATGTTCTTTTTTTCACTAGTACATTTTCGGAGTTATCATGGTTCTTTATATATTCTCATTTGAATACATTTGTATATCCTTATATAAATATATTTATATATTCTTATTTGAGATGTTTGGGTTGTGAATATTTTCAGCTTTTATGGTGTGCTTTGATTCTGTTAAGGCCATATTCTGTTGAAAACTTTTTAAATTTATGAAATCGTATTATTTTCTGTCACTGTTAATGCTTTCTGTGCCTGCCTTCTTTGCCTGACTTCAAATCACAAGACATTTTCTCATGTTTTTAAAAAAGTTTACAGTGTTATGTTTTACATTTAAGTCTATTTTCTATCACATTAATTGTTGTGGATGATAGAGGCTAGAACATGATGCTTATTGTTTCTTTGTGTAAATTTACCTTTCTAGGTATTTTTTTTAAATAATGCAAAATTTTGAGATCCTCAAACTTGTTATATCATGTTTGTGAGAAAATGAAATAATTCAATATTCTTTAATATACAGATCTGTAAATATAGAGAGTATATAAACAAAACCAAATGAAGTTAGTGCTTTGTGATAATGGATAGAGAATATTTTAAAATGTTTAAGGAAATAGACATTAAATTTCTTTATTATTTTTACCATAGTAAAGGAAAGATTTAGTAGTGAGAAATGTTTTTCATTGTACACATTCTAAAAATAAATGGATAGTTTTTAGTTTGCCTGATGAAATCATTTTTATATAAGTGACAAAGTGACTTTGATTGCCCTATTATATCTCCTTTTTTTGGTGGTCTGAAGTTGGTCAGGCTTTCCATATGAAACCCCAATTTTCAGAAGTCTATGAGCAGACAGTTAAAAAAATTACAACTAGTCGAAAACTTGGCACTCGTGATTTTCGTTCAATATAAGCTACTTGCTTTAACAAAGTTTTAAGTAGTCAGCTCTTTTTTAGAAATTGTAAGGAGTTTCTTTGGTTAAACAGATAGGATTATTTTTCCAGCCACTTATTCCAATTAGATTTGCATAGTAGACTTTCCCCTTCTAGAAATTATTTAAGTAGCTTCTTCCTGTGTTCCCACTGCCACAAGAGCTTGCCACAGGATTTTCCTTTTTAAGGAGCTTGTAGTATAAGCGCAGCAATAAGACATTGCCTAGCATACAGGAGTCCTCAGGTTTGATTTTTTGTTTGCTTCACTGTAGTTCATAGACAATATCCTGTCTTTACTTTTTTCTGTGATTTATTCTTTAAAAATTCTCTTTTGTATGTTTACATTAAAATGGCTTTAGATTTTGGCTTTCTTCTCTCCTTTTGGAATGCCAGATTGAATAAAACGGTGTGTGGCTTTACCATTACTTAAAAAACCAGTATTCAAAAGTAGTTGTCGTGTAAATAGCATTGATTTGCTTGAAATTAAGCTTCTGAACTGAAGATTTTTTTTTTTTTTTTTTTTTTTTTTTGTACTCAGAATCAAACTCACGACCTCACGCTTGCCCACCAAGCACTGTTAAGCTGCTAACCTATATCCCCAGCCTAAAATACAGACTTTTGAAACTTCTTCTGAGGACCTGTCACTCAGAGTAGGCTTTTAGGCAAGTTTTCTTCTTCTGGAAAGTGTAGATGTTAGCTTGAGTACTTTTACTTTCACAATCTGTTTTTAACCCACTATCATTTGCATGGTGAACGTCTAGTTACTGTTGATTCATAAAGGTATTTGTGGGTATTTTTGAAACTTATATTTCACTTCTTATTTTTAAAAAATTATTTCCTGAAAACCTACTATAGAAATGCTAACTTCTACATAAAATGAGATGATCTTTTGGAATACTTTCTTTCTACTCCAAAGATAATTTGCTTCAGGCAAGAGGTTTTAGGTGCTGTTGAAATTTTGAAGGTCTGGGAAAGTGGGGTAATAACGTGACACCAGCTCTTAAGCAGCAACATCTGCTGTGGTTCAAAGCCACACAAAGAAAGCTGCTTAAGCAGTTGAATGTTTTGGACTACCCGGACAAGTGTGGTTCGACTGCAAAGACTGCAGAGGAGAGGAAACTTAAATTTAGAGAAGTTACTTAAAAATGGAGTCATGGAAGATGAACATCTTTAAAAAACAAACATCTACTTGTTCTCCAGCCTATCGAAGATCTTTTTCAGAGCCTACTTATGCAAATACAGAGATAGGAACACCTTTAAAGATTTATCAATGGTGTGGGCCAGTGAAAAGCAAGAGGAAGAAAAATGAATATGCTCTTTCTAATCCAGGAAAGTCACTGAGTGCTTATCGATGGCAAAAACATCCTGGCTTTAGGTGGAAAGGGGTCAAAGAGGAGAGGTTGCAAAATAATAAAGGAGACCTGGGTGAACTACAACAAAAAATGCTGCCAGAGATGGTCCATGATAATGCTTCTTTCTCTGGAAATGAGGTCCTTGCAACGTCAAAACAGAAGCTGAACCTCCACAACCAGTCGCTTCGGGCTCCATTCACTAGATCTATTTCAGATCCAGAACCCCACTGCAGTGTTAGATCTGTTAGACCATGGCTGACTTCGGTGGAATCAGTGGAGTCTGAACAACAGGGATATTTCATCCGTAGCATTTTCTCTACTGTTTCCAATGGCTTCTCCAGGATGCTGAGTCTGAAAAGAGAATCAACCAATGAACCAGTAAGAGAAGGTATATTGTGATAATGAAGGGGAAAAAGGGTGACTCCAACTTAGTTACTGTTGCAGTTTTAATTGTTTTTTAATAAGCAGCTAAACCATTTTATTTGTGAGTTATAAAAATAGCACAACATTTATAAAAGGATCAGGACCTTCTTTCAATGAGTGACAATAATAGAGGATTTGGTTAATTTAAGGAATTTTTATAATATTCTTGATCTATCTAGGGAGACTGTAAGAATATTTTAACCTTCATTTGTCTCCACTGATATACTTTTGCAATTTAGAGAAATAAATAATTTCCTTATGATAATTGGGGATTAAAAAGCCTAATTTCTGGTATCATCTTTTCATAAAAATATTTTTAAATTAATGTTACTAAGGAGAACTATATAATTTATACACTGATAACTCTTAGTACCTTGGAGTTTTGTTTATATCATAAAAATGTACACTTTGAGGATAGAAACCAAGGAATCAAATATTAAATACTCATTTATATGGTAAAATATGGTAAAATAGAAATTTGTATTTGATTCATTTCAGATAACAAGATCATTAGATTTTTAAAATCACATTGAGAGCTTATTTAAATTTTAAAATACTTTATGTTGATTATAGAATTGTTAAAGCCAAGAAAGAATCTCTTAATTTTTGTCATCTGATTGCCTTGAAAATAGCTGGCTATGTCTTAGGAACTATTTCAGTTTTGGCTTGAGGCCTACATTGTTGTTTTCGAGAACCTTAACATTAGAACCTTTATTATATCTATCATCCACATAGATATCAGTAGAGATTTAAACCATTTCTAAAATTGTGAGGATTATTAAAGAATTTTGTTATTGGAATATACTTTCTTTTAAAATACAATTAAAAAATACCAAAAATAACATTTCAATGAAAACTTAACTTTCTTAGTAAATGTGTGCCAAAATTCAGTATTTCTTCTAAATCTTGTCTTCTTCAGATACTCCTCTGCCTTTTAAGTTTTAATGATACTATTAAGTATATATATATTCTTTCTACCATTGACAAATAGAAAATTACCAAGAAGCAAATCTTCCTTGGTATGCTTCTATTAATATTCCATCCAACAGTATTAGGTCTATCTCCTTGGGTGCTAGGATGTTTATATACTTGCTAGATAAAAGTAAAGTGATCAAAATAGTGGAAGATCAAAGGAAAGTAAGAATTTAAAATAGATTTTTAGAACAAGTGCCTCTCAGTGGTAACATGTGCATTTGATAAAAGAAGCTACACTTTACAAAATTTTACTTGTAAATACTATAGTTCACTTTTGTTTTTAGTAACCGTAGCAAACTGTTGTTGATCATCTATGTGTACCATGCTGTGAAAATGTATACCTGCTTTTAACATGTGATGATCTTAAATGTTCTGTATTTACTACTTTCTTCTAGTTTGTTCAGTCTTAAAAGAATTAGATATGTGGAAGCATGTGTAGTTTAAATTGACAGTGGTATTATAAGGAATCTCAGTTGCAGTAATTAAGCAACCGGTATTTATCACCAGTATATTCTTATTAGAAAAGTTACAGCATTATGGCAGCTATTATGCTATTACAGTATTATGACAAGTTGTGAATTATTAGAACACAACTGTCCTTTAAGAACACTCAATGTATTTTTGAATTTGAAGCCCACTAGTGTTTGTTATGTTCTTCCTTTAATATGAATAAGATGTGAGCAACATTACATAAGATAGTATGTATTAAAAACATTGAAAATAATGTTAATAGTGGCACACAGCAGTTAATCAATATATATTAAATACTGTTTCCACTTAGAAAATGTATTTATCAGTATACTTTTTAAAGTAGGAAAAAGTGATACATGGTTGTTAATATTTGTCATCATTTCTGCAAGTCAGTAAATTGTAGTTTTATAGTCTGAAATTTTACTAATTCATACTTGTTTTCAATGTGTGCATAAGCCGGTAATAATTTCTTGTATTGTTACTGAACACAATTACTCACATGATTACAGCAATGAAATATATCAGATGGTGGTGTGTAACTACTTGAAGAGAGAGACGCTCATTGTCTTCATTGCTGTTCTGTAGTCAACCATCCCAATTTACAAAACATATTTCTTCGTCTAATATAATATATGGATCAAATAATACAATAACAAAAGAATAGAACCAGTGATAGCCAAAATATAATCCTCCATGTCTAAGTATTCAAGTACCTCTTTGTGATAGGGGGAACAACTGAAGCATATAATAAAATAGTAAGCAGATTATTGTATATTAAGTTAGTACCATATAGCCTTCATAGTTGCTGCTCCCTTGCTATTTGAAAGTTAGAAGAAGCTATAAAATTATAAACTTGATGCTATAAAATTATAAACTTTCTAATTTGTATAACACTTGGAAAGTAGAAGATTATGGAGACAGTCTCATTTCTGAATTATTTTTCCTCTGTAGGTAGAGAGGAATGAAAGCTTTAAAAATAAAAGTTATTTTATACATATATAGTATATAAAAGGAAGTTAAATATATTTTATGCAGTTCTCATTTCTGGTTATGATGTATACTTTATAATATCATAATAAAATTTTGTCCCAAGTTATGTTTTTGGGTATTAGAAGATTAAACATTTTTAGGTAGTTTTCTTTTTTTAATATTTGTATCAAATCTTAATGTTTTCATAAGCAGATGTTATTGAAAGAAATTTTACACATCAACTGAACAATACTTTTGAGTATTTGAGACATTGCTAGGTTCTGGTAATAGGGCATATTATTTTCTTAGATGATTAGTGTATCTTCATTTATCTTAGGAAATTAATAACCATATCAGGGAAAACTCAAGTGAAGTACTCTCAAATTTATAAGATAATATGTGTAATAAATAGTAGAAAAATAGAGTCATAAGAATTTATATAGTGCTTCAAATCTCCTCTATAATTCAATCTATTTGTGTTTTAAGTGAGATGTCTCTATACAGTACAAATAAATACATTCCCTTCTTGTCATTTCTCTCCAAGGTTACTGCATTGCTACATGCATAACATATGTCCTTCTAGCATTTTATCACCTAGTCTGTTATATCTAAGCTGTGAATATTTTATGCCTTATAATATCTACATTGCCTGTTGCATAAACAATTTTGAAGTTAATAAGTAAGTTTTAAAAATTTAGGTAGTGAGCTTGTTTGGTTAATTACATATAATTCTATATTTAAGATTAGTCAATGTATTGATACAATTATTAGTCTATAGGCTTGCCATTAAAAAAATACCATAGACAGGTTACTTAAACAACAGAAAGTTATTTTCTTACAGTTCTGGAGGCTAAATTTCAACATGAAGGTGTCAACTGGCAGGATTGGTTTCTCCCAAAACCTCCTGCTATCTCTTTCCTTGGCATTTTCTCTGTGTGTAGGTGCCCCTGGTCTCTCTCTCTCCTTACAAAGATAATAGGGCCCCACCCTTATGACCTGATTTAATTATAATTACTTTCTTAAAGGCCCTATTTCAAAATACAGTCACATTGAGGGTTAGGGAAGATACCTCATAAACTTTCTTTCCCCCCGAGTTAGGATCTTGTCATGCAGTTTAGATCAGCCTTAAATTCAGTATGTAGCCCCTGCTGACCTCTAACTCATGGTGATCCTCCCAAATGCTATAACATCTGAACTTTGCAGAGCACTCAGTCTATAATTCCAGGGAACAAGGGTCTCAGCAATTACAAAGTAAACTGGGCATGATGCCACAAAGCTGTAATCCTAGCACTGGGGCTTGAGGCAAGAGGACCTGGTGTTTAAGGTTAATCTGGACTTCATAATAAGACCTTATTTCAAAAATAAAAAATAAAAACATATATAGAATCATTAATGCACTTTATTAGCATAAATGAGAAAAAGGACTTAGCTACAAAAAAAGTTTTGTCACATCAGTGCTCAAATTTTCAAAGAGAATTTAGTTTACAAAGATGGGTGATTTACAGAATAGACTATGACTTTAAATGTGTATTTTTTCCCTAATGCATATTTTTAGTATAGTTCCAATGAGTGGAAAATACATCTTAAGTTGTCTTTTTTCACTTAAGAGTATTTGATGTGATTGCCTGTCTACTAACCAGTAATAATATGACAAAAGATGTTGGATTTTCTAATGTGGTTATGTTGAAATATTGGAGATTTCTGTTGTTTATAGTTTTTTCTTTGTAATTTCCACTGATAGAAATCTTTTATTGCTGTTGTCTTACTTATTTAGACTACATTGCTGATTATTTCCTTGGATTGTGAATCATCTTGTATCTCATTATATATTGTGAGGTTTCTGCTAGAAAATATTTACAATGCCTGTAATGATTTCTGAGTACAGTTGTCCCCCTATTACCTTAACCAGATTTGGACTTTAGCATTCATTGTTATAGTATGTTGTTTTGTTTTCCTTGTATTATGGTGTGAGGGAAAGTAAAAATATTTTTGGAGTTATATGAATGGGTTCAAATTTGATCTATGGTCTCAGAAAAATTCTTACGACTTTTTTGGCCTTTTATTTCCTCACTGGTAAAATTTGGGATGATCATAATATCTTTTAGCGTTTTTGTAAATAGTAAATAAAGTGAATGTATTAGTTCATATTAGTTACCTAGTTAATAAAAACTTTTATGATATTAGTTTAATGGATGCCGCATATTACTATTATATTTGTATTTTTCCTGTTAGTGAAATAGACATTTTCATATCACATGGTTTATAGTTTCTTTTTAATTTGTATTATTTTTCAAGTAGAATCTCTTACTTCTTTAGATTATTTATCAAATATAATTTGACTATGTGACTTTTTTTTTCATTTTTATGACAGCTTATTTTTGTGTTCACTGTTACCTGTTTTTCTGCCTGTTTTGTTTTGGTGTTCTGTGATTTTAAAAAACTATTTTTGGGGCTGGATTTCAGCAGCATAAGCACCTGTCTTGCAAGCAGGCGGTCGTGAGTTTGATTCCTGGTACAAATAAAAAGTTAAAAAGAAAAAAAAAACTATTT